CTCCTGCCCGGGCAACTTCACCCCCCCCGGCACGTCGCCAGGGAGGACAACGCGCTCAGGGAGCCCCCGCTGGGGCTGGCTCTGCAGAGGACATAAGCACAGGGGATGTGTAATCTCCAAGGATTTGAGGTTCCCCGAGAAGGGGAGGCCGCAGCCTCCCTCCTCCCCTCCCTGCAGCTTCTCCTCCCCCCTGTCGCAGTGAGGCTGGACAAGCTCTCGGAGGTTGCCAAGGTGAACACGGACGCCATCCGCCTGGCCCAGGAGGAGATCTGCGAGTACCGCCGCCAGCTCCAGGCCAAGACCACCGAGCTGGAAGCCCTCAAAGGGACCCAGGAGTCACTGGAGAGGCAGAGGCAGGACTCGGAGGAGCGCCATCACGCAGATGTCCTGTCCTACCAGGTAACGTGGCGCGGTGGGCAGCGTCCCAGGCATCATCTGGTGGGGAGGGACCATCCAGCTGCCGGGGAGGAGCATTCCTGGGTGCTGGCTTCAGAGATGGTGACAACCAGTGGGAAATACTCAGGGTTGTGTCTAAAGCTGGCCTTCCTCAGCTCCTGGTGATCGGGTACCCAGAGTCTGAGGCTGCATCCAGACTGTTGTGTTCCTCCACCTGTGATGGAGCCATCCCACATCTCTGCCTGGCTTCGAGCTGCCCGTGACACCACCCAACCATGCCCTGGGTTCAGGCAGCATCTGTTGTCCCAGGGCTGGGAGCTGCTGCACGATGTGGTGCCCATGGACTGAAACACTGTCCCCAGGGTGAAAGCCCCATCAGCCTCAGGCTGGGGTTCGGTGGCCACCAGACTCACCCAAGTCCTAAAAACGTTCCCCCAGCTCATCCCTGCTGGAGGCAGCTGTGGGAGGGGGCTGGAGGTGGGCCAAGGCTCCTGACAGTTCCCCCAAGGGATCTGGACACACTGCAACCCTGGAGGTGTCACCTTCCCTCTGTGTCTGCAGGGGAAGGCGGGTACAGATCCCTCCGTGAGGGCACCCCAGTGCTGGGTGGGCGGTTTGTCCCTCCTCTGGAGAGCAGGGGACTGCTCAGGGGTGCTGTGTCACCCTGCTCCTGGGCACTGCTTCCCCCCTCCATGTCACCAGCTGCTCTCTCTGCCGCAGGAAACCATCCAGCAGCTTGACAGCGAGCTGAGGAACACCAAGTGGGAGATGGCAGCTCAGCTCCGGGAGTACCAGGATCTGCTCAACGTCAAAATGGCCCTGGACATTGAAATTGCTGCTTATAGGTATGGGGTGGGCAAGGGGAAGGTGGGAGGGTCTCGGCCACTCCCTAGTGCTGGTGTCTTGGTGGATGCTCCTCGAGAGTCCTCCCTAACACCCGGGGCCCTTCCTGGTGAGACACTTCCATCCCGAGACCATGGTGGGCACCATTCGGTTGGGTGAGCCAGCCCCACACATGGTTTGCAGAGAAAAGGGTGAGGAAACCTGCACAGCCCAGGCTGCAGGAGCAGGAGGGTCAGCCAAGCATATTCCAAGCGGGGCAAGGAGGGAGATGGAGCTGCAGGGCATGGCAGGCAGCTCCTGGTCGTGGGAGGAGGTGAGAAGCTATCACTGACTGCCCTGCTCTGGTCTCTTCCTGGCAGAAAGCTCTTGGAAGGGGAGGAATATCGGATCGAGTCTGGCTTTGGGATGATCTCCTTCCCTGAGGTGCTCCCTAAGGCTCCCAGCATCACCACCAACATCAAGGTGAAGAGTGAGGAGAAGATCAAGGTGGTGGAAAAATCTGAGAAGGAGACAGTGATTGTGGAGGAGCAGACAGAGGAAATCCAGGTGACCGAGGAGGTCACAGAGGAGGAGGAGGCCGAGAAAGAGGCTGAAGAGGAGAAAGCTGAAGAGAAGGAGGAGGAAGAAGAGGAGGAGAAAGCTGAAGCAGAGGGTGAAGAAGAGGAGGCTAAGTCTCCTGCAAAAGAAGAGGCCAAGTCCCCAGAGAAACCTGAGTCCCCCTCAAAGGAGCCAGCCAAGTCCCCAGAAAAGCCACCAACACCTTCAAAGGAAGAAGCTAAAACCCCAACTGTCAAGTCCCCTGAAAAGCTACCAATGCCCTCAAAGGAGGAGGCCAAGACCCCAACGGTGAAATCCCCAGAGAAACCTGCAACCCCCTCAAAAGAAGAGGCCAAGCCCCCGGCTGTGAAGTCTCCAGAGAAACCTTCACCCCCCTCAAAAGAGGAGGTCAAGCCCCCAGCCGTGAAGTCCCCTGAGAAACCCCCAACCCCCTCAAAAGAGGAG